CCCTATATGAAATGACAGACTATGGACACCCCCATGGAGGACCTGACCCTCCCTGGGGAAATGAGGGGATAATGGGGGGGGTTGGGGGAGGGCACGGGAGGAGGGGAGGGAAAGGGAGAGGGCCCTGGAACTGACTTGTCAAGCAACCTTGTTTCTTATCTAAATTTAAACTGAAAAATAAATAAATAAATAAAAAGAAGTTGGTCACTGGGATTGTGACCATGCTGCAATGAGTATATGGGCAACAAAAAAAAAAAAAAAAAGAAGATTTAACGCAATCCCTCTTAAAATACCAGCACAATTCTTCACAGACCTTGAAAGAACAATAATCAAATTTGTATGGAAAAACAAAAGACCCAGGATAGCCAAAACAACCCTGTTTAACAAGGCATCACCATCCCTGACTTCAAGCTCTATTATAGAGCTATAGTCCTGAAAACAGCTTGGTATTGGCACAAAAATAGACAGGTAGACCAATGGAATCGAATTGAAAACCCTGATATTAGCCCACACATGTAAAAACATCTGATATTTGACAAAGAAGCTAAAAATATACAATGGAAAAAAGAAAGCATCTTCAACAAATGGTGCTGGCATAACTGGATGCTGGCATGTAGAAGAATGCGGATCGATCCATGTCTATTGCCATGCACAAAAAATAAGTCCAAATGGATCAAAGACCTCAACATAAATCCAGCCACACTGAACCTCTTAGAAGAGAAAGTGGGTGGTACCCTTGAAAAAATTGGTACAAGACACAGCTTCCTGAACATAACTCCAGTAGCACAGACAGTGATATCAACAATTAATAAATGGGACCTCCTGAAATTGAGAAGCTTCTCAAAGGACACAGTCAGCAATACAAAAGGCAGCCCACAGAGTGGGAAAAATATTCACTTACCCCATATCTGACAGAGGGCTGACCTCCAAAATTTACAAAGAACTCAAGAAGCAAGTGTCCAAAACACCAAAGGATCCAATTAAAAAGTGGGTTACAGAACTAAATAGAGAATTTTCAATAGAGGAGTCTAAAATGGTTGAGAGGCACTTGAGAAAGTGCTCAACATCCTTAGCCATCCGGGAAATGCAAATCAAAACAACTCTGAGATACCATATCACTCCTGTCAGAATGGCTAAAATCAAAAACACCAATGACAACTAAGTTATCACTTGGAGGATTCAAGTAGCTGCTTTCTCTTTTTTTGTGGGGATGTATCTAATTTTTAAATTCTTCAATATTACGAGTATTAGCTGTCAAAGAAAACAATCATGAAGTATAAGCATAATAAAGCAATTCCTTCTTTTGTTTATTTATTTATTTATTGGTTTTTACGAGACAGGGTTTCTCTGTATTGTTTTGGAGGCTGTCAGTCCAGCCTGGGTCGAACTCACAGAGATCCGCCTGCCTCTGCCTCCCTAGTGCTGGGATTAAAGGCGTGTGCCCTCACCGCCCGGCTCTTTTGTTTATTTTTATGAGGGTTTCTGTGTATAACCTTAGCTGTCCTAGTACTTATTCTGTAGACCACACTGGCCTCAAACTCCCAGAGATCCACCTGCCTTTGCCTCTTGAATGTTGGGATTAAAATATGTGCCACTATGCCCAGTAATAAAAGTATTTTTCAAAACTATAAATTGAATTTACAGCAAAATTATTGTTGTAATACATATTAGATAATAGATATCAAATGAAGAAAAACAGACAACGCCAAAATAATTAATAAGATAACATTTGCATAAATATTTTTTTAAAATAATAAACTCTTAACATACAAGTTTTGGATAAAAAAGGAACCTCCATTATTCTTTGCAAACTTTATGATGGCTCAGAAATTTAGACAGTGATAGTAATCTGGGCTTCTTTCATTAAGAAGTAAAGATGAAAAGGAAGGGGAAGAAAGCAATTTTCTATGTCAAGACACAATTGCTGGTGACAGCTGACATAGTAAAAGAACACACCAAAGAAAGGTGAAAGGCATAGGCAATTCTACTGTGGGTTCATTTAAAAATTATGCATTAGGACATAAAAGAGACAACAAAAGAAGAAAACAGTAGATCTTGTTGTTTCATTTAAGCCTTTACAATATGCTACGTAATGTGTCACCTGATTTACAAATTTTACTCATTTATTCATAATACCCTGTGAGTGAGAGACATTCTTGCCCCCACTTTACAGATAGTAAACCTATCCGTAGAAGTTAATTTACTCACAGTCATATGATTTGTCTCTGATAGTAGTACTGGGATGTTAGGCCAGAATTTGTCTAACCACGAAGAATACATGTTACACTATTATAGAAACAGCGGAGGATAATATCCAGAAGAGTCCAAAGGTTCAAAGAGCGTTTCACAGCTGTGGCTCATAAACTACTCTCTAGCTTTGGCTTACAAAATAAAAAGAAATGCTTTAGCTTTAACAGGGTGACAAGTTTGGAGAGAGAGAGAAAGCTCAAGGAAAAAGGACTTTCAAAGCTATAAGTGGTTGGCCCAGGGCCAGGAAAGCACAGTGTATAAAATCTTTGAAGGTTAAAGGATCTCTGTAGACTAAAAGGCTAAACCAACTCTTTCTGGTCACACTACTAAGAGTAAAGTTTTTATACATAAAGAACCAATTAGCCAATTTATCTCAGCACTTGAGATCTCAGCATAATAATTCAGCTGCTATGCCGAGGTTGTGATTATAAACACTTACTCATCACTCATTTGACCTGATATTATCCTAACTGCTATTTGATTCTAATATCAACGCTACAGAAAAGTACTCCTGTCATAGCTTTTGGAGGGACTGGGCTATGTTTGATGTCAGAACTCACAGTCTTTAAAAAGATACTGTGCTGATGTCAGAGTAGACAGATAATTACAATGACTACGTGTTTACCCAATTACTTTGATATGTAACAATCTTTTTCTAAAATGACTTACTTAAAATTCCACTTGCTAAGCATATTTAAAGATTGTTAGCTTTTTTCAATACAGTCATCTATTAGCAACTAACCAGAGTTTCCTTCAGTGGGAATAGTATTCTTTTAGGATATTACAGGTTGTATTAGATTGAGGAGGGACTCTGCAGGTGTTGGGAAGGATAAAAGAAGCTAAGGGGTACATTTATATCACATTGTTAAAATTTTTAAAAATAAATGCAGCTGGGTGGTGTTGCACGCCTTTCATCCTAGCACTCAGAAGGCAGAGGCAGGCAGATCTCTGTGAGTTTGAGGAAAGTCTGGCCTATCGAGCAAGTTCCATAACCGGCTCCAAAGCTACACAGAAAATGCCTATCTCAAAACAAAACCAAAGAAAAAAAACTACAAAGTATAAAAATAATCTAAATAAAAGAAAGGAATTCATGAATTCTACCTAATGATCTTATCTTCACTATAATCTGGGCTTCAAAGTCATGCAAATGAAATGCAAAGCAGTGGGTTACAGTATAGTTGCTGATTTATTGAGCCATTTAAGTTTTAGCTTCCTGATGACATATGCTGTTAGTGTTGTTTATTTCTTCTCTTTTATTTATTTATTTTTCAGTGCTGGGGATTAAACTCAGGCTGTGCTTGCTAAGCAAGCTCTCTACCTGTAAATGCTACACAAGTCCTGATGAAAAGTTTTGATATTCTGTACAGTGAGAAAGCAGTATAGGGCTCTTGTATCTCATTCTAGATTGTTCATTTGTTACCTACAGTGATTGAAACTGATATTCGATGTACAATACTGATAGCATAATTCATATATATGTGTGCTATAAGCTGAAACTGATGAAATCAGAATATTGTAACAAGAACCCAAAATTTATATTAGGTAACTAATTTTATTTAGCCAGTAAACACACAATATTTTTAAATCATGCAGAGAAACTAGCCAGATTCTGTAACCAAGCAAAAAACAAATGCAAGAATAGCAAAATCTTTTACATCTTGGAATATGTGCAAATTAGAGATACTGAAATAATTACTATAAATGTAAACCAAGTGTGTGTGTTAAACTGCCCATGTCAAGGGATTTAAATTCTTTTAATCTACTGAAGTCCAAGTTCCTGGACAAAAGGTAGGGCCCCAGAAACATTTTCAGGTTTGATTTTATTTGGAAGGCACTAACTGGATTATTGAATTTTTCACATTCAATAGAATATTAATTTTGTATAAATATAAGATCAATGAGTAATGAAGCTTGAGAAATGAATAGTGATCATGTTGTATGGACTTGAGTGTAGGTTTGAATTTCACTGTTTCATAAAATTAACATAATATGAAATGAAACACTTTTATAGTAGTGTATCATGACATATTCAGGTTATTTCAAATTGTCAAGGATACAAATGATAGAAAACTTAGAAAAACAGGGCTTATTAGTATGAAACATTTCAAGATGCAGATATTTTTTCATGTTTACTTTTTCAGAGTTCATAACTGCTATATATTTTTGTTGATATAATTTTTATACCCGTAAAGTAGACTGTTCCACCCCTTAACTAAAATAGACAGATAATAGACATATGAGTTAGGCATGACTATAAAGTCACCTACAACAAACATAATCACAATGACGTCTTTAAAATTAAAGTACTTTTTAAAATCATGTTCACTTAATACTTTATCATAGAAAATTCTGCTACATTTGAAATTTTTCTTTAAAACATAACTTTCTTTAAAACATTTATTAATGACAAAGGCCCAAAAGCTCTGGCTTAATATACAAATTCCACTTTTAAAAGTTATCCTAAAAATTTTTGGAAAAAAAAGATCAAAGAATTCAACATGATCAAGAGAATGGATGAGTTAAGAGCCTTGATTTACATAACATAATTAAAGAAATACTGATGCCGTTAATTTTAGAAATAATTTAATTTGGTCTATAGCAAAGAAGACTTGTAAAGGAAGACAAAAAGTCAAAGGCATGCTTGTGGGGTAGCACTGGTGGCTGGCACCGTAACCCCTATCCGTAAAAGGATAGCTTCCGCCAACTCATCTGTGATTTCTAAATTAATTCTGAAGGAAACCATAGCTTACTTGAGGATCCCGATGAGAATCTGTGTGCCTGGCTTTTTTTTTCTTTGTTCACAGACAAAGCGCTTCCACTGGTCATGGAAAAATGGTCTAAATCCGTGTCTTCTCTGCTTACAAGTCTTGCCTGGGAGCAATGGGAGAGAATGTATACAATCATGAAACAAAATATGGCATTTTCTGAATGCAGCTCACATTACCCCAAATAAACAAACAGGCTCTGTCAAACAACCTTCTTCAAAATGATACCACAATCCTTTACTGCTGCCCAGCCAGAACAAATGCACTATGTCAAAGTGGTTTTTGCAAATAAGAGCCGATTTTAAAATTGAGGTTTGCTATTTGAGTCTGCACAACAAAAGACAACATTTTAGTACAGTAATTTTGATGAAAATCAATCTTAGAAGCAGTGGGTAAAGCTATAAACAGCTTAACTTCACTTACCAAGTATATTGTTTAATACTTAATTAAATGTTAAAGTTGTCATATTATATTATTTTTACAGTATTTGTATTTATACTGGGTATAGTGTTGTTTTCTACCAACAATTCTTGAAATAAATTTTCCATATTTGTGGACCACTGCATCACAGACTATACACACCTTTCATTATAAACATTTTCAGTGTAAAACATTACACTTTTAGGTTTAATTTCGAGGTAATGCTAAATATGTAGTAATTTCAAGGCGTATTTTATGCACTCAATGGATTATTCAGTCATCTGAAACTACAATTGTATTTTTATTACTATATTGTATTGCTTAGGATCAAAAGAGCTGCTTGTTACCTATAGGATATTCTCTTACAGAACATCTTGTATCATTGGGAATTCATCAAGACTGAGCTGTGAAGTGGTGAATATGCTGTTACAGAAAACAAAACAGCCCATAGTGGATGGGAGCTACCCCAAACCACAACATAATTGGAATCTTGTGAGATCACAAATATCATCCTAAATGTTTGATGGGAGGAAAATTTAAATACAGGAAAATAAAGACAAGAAACCATCACTGTGGTTAAAAAGCTATCTCTGTGTAATGAACTACACAGACCCAAGGAATCAGAATCGAAATAGCCTCTTTCACATTTAGATAGCACCCCCCCTCCCCCACCTTCCTGCACTTCTCCATCTTCCTCTGTAGTCTTCTCCACCTCCTCTAGTCCTCTTTCTCCACTTCCTTCCCATATTCTCCTCCCTTTTCTTTTTTGGAACTCTGCTCTCTTCCTGGATGCCATGGACCTCTCTAGTGGTAAGAGTTCAAGCATACACCATATCTGGCTTCCCATTTTCTTTTCCCACCTTCTCCTTCTCAAACACACATGAAAATACTTGTTTTTTCTCAAATAAACATAATATTAAAGTTACAAAATTTGTGCATATTTGTTTTATAACACACTTTAAATCTGTATACACTATGAAATAGCCCCCCCCAAGATATTGGCAGATGAATTAATAAGCAATCTTTTAAGGCCCTCCATAAATAAACCTTTGGTCTATATCTCAAATTCAAACCACTAAACAGAAAATCCAATTTTAAAGAGCAACTTCACAGGGACATATGACTTCACGAAAGTGCCATCTAAGAGCCTAAATTGAAATTTGCAAGCATTTTTGTTTTATTTTACAGAAAGACAAAATGGTGCGATCCTGGTACACTTTTACAGAAACCTGGAATTTCACATTTAGGTTCAATCCATGACTGTCAGTGAATCTGGTATACCTCATGGATTACTAATGTTTAAATTCTATATCTGAAACATTGGCTATAACATTATTCTATCAGCTAACAGAAAAATTATAAAAGAAAAACATATCTTTTCTGCTGTATGCTTGTTATCACTGGGTTATAATGTGTCTCCCCAAAAGGCTTATATCCTAGAGGCTTGGCTTGAGCTAATAGATCTGCAGTGTTTTATCTTAAGGCCTCACAGAGGACTTGACCTGAGCTGGTAGATCCAATCTGCAGGGATTGGATCTTGAGGCCTCAGAGAAACTGTGGAGAAATCCACCAAGACTTTAAAAATCTGTTGGCAAAACTGGGAGCTGGTGCAAAAACTGGAGGTAGGGCCAAGCTAAAAGAAGTATGTCACTTTATCTTGTCCTGGGGTCCCATCCTGTTTCTCCCCATCTCTTAACTGCTATCACCATAGTTCCAGAGACAGACTCTAATGACTGTGGGCTTAGGCCTCTTTAACAGTAAGTCAAAAGAAACCTTTTCCTTCGTGAAGGTTTTTTTTCATGTATTTGACACAGTGCCATAAAAGCAAACCAAACATGAAAAATACTTCTTCAGTATTTCCTTAGGATCTGAGGACGACACGTCATCTATGTCAAATGATGTGGTGTTTACAATAGTCTTTTGGAAGTGCGCTAACATGTTCTCATTAGGATGATTTAGTCAACAATGGATTTCATATTCAATACTAGTCTCTAAGGTTATAATGGAGATGAAAATTCTTATTGTCTAACAACATCATGACCATTGTAATACTGCTGTAAAAATATCTGCCCTCACAGCCAATCATATAAAAACATGCCAATATAATTTTGCATAGCATATAATAATAGGCAGTGAGAATAGAAGATCTTATATCTATTGACTAATGTAAGTTCTATTATTGTTTTAGAATATTATTCTATTTATAAAAATATAGGTTGACTATAGGGCAGTATGTATTATACCAGGACAGTTCAGTATATATTTCGTTTACTATATCTGTAATTTATAAGAAGAGGTCATGAAGAGATTAACCTATGCTATCTATGTTTCAGTAAGTGCAGTATATGAAGTAGAAATGAGTAGGAAATGCAGAATGGGTAGGAAACTATCTTAGACGAGAAAAGATAAGCTATTTCACATGTTTTAAATACATCTGTATAATTTACACTCAATGAATTACATAGATCTTGAATAAAGTTCTATGTTCAAAATTTGTGTTTTTAAACTTGCAAGGAAGTTGCAGAAAGCAACACTGAACATTTCCTTTGCAACCTACACCTAGCTTGCTTGGTAATTTTTGTATAACATAAATAGAATTATCTTTGCTGCTAACAAATCAACAAATTGATGTGGGATGCAAAACTCCTAATTACAGGCCCTGTTATGTCTTGAGCAGGTTTTACATGTGATATTTGTTTTGGTTGTAATTCTATTACTCTTCATTCTGTGTATATATCATTATAACTTCCATTACAATCAAGTAAAAAATCTACTGTTTCATTATTCCAAAGACAAGCCTTGACTCATTGTCACCTTCAGGCTAACTAGCAACTACTAATATGCTCCCTACTTAGCACTATGATTTTCAGAATGTTACATGAGTGAAATTGTTCAGTTTTATGCTATACAGCAATCTGAGTTAAACTATTTAACACCACGTTCTGGTTCATGTTACTATTTCCTTGTTTAGTGTCATGCAATCATTTTACCTCCATTTAACCTATATTTTCTCACATTGAGTGGACTTTGGTTGTGTTAAGTATTGCAGCTATTATGAACAAAACTACTGCAAAAATATTGTTCTGTATTTAAAATAAATAAATTTTAAAATTCTTTGAGAATTTTAAATTTGAGAATCTATTTTAATCATAGTCATCCTCATTTATACTATTTTTTTAATGAATGATCACGTCTTTAGGAAAAATGTTCAGTAACTCAACAATTGCATTTATGTTCTTAAATTTTCTTCATATGGGTCCTCTGGCAGTGGATCCGTATTTATCCCTAGTACACGAATGGACTTTGGGAGCCCATTCCACATAGAGGGATATTCTCTCAGCCTAGACACATGGGGGAGGGTGTAGGACCTGCTCCAAATGATATGACAGACTTTGAAGATCCCCATGGAAGGCATCACTCTCCCTGGGGAGCTAAAAGAGGATAGGATAGTGGGTTGGTAGGGGCGGGGGAGGAGGAGAGGGAGAGAGAACTGGGACTGACATGTAAAACAAGCTTGTTTCTAATTTAAATAAAATAATAACAATAAATAATTAAAATATAATTACACCACTTCTCCCCTCTATACTTTTCTCTTCATAACCACTCCCATACCACCCCTATTACTCCCTCTTCAAATTGATGGCCTGTTTTTTGTTTATTATTGCTACATTATATTATAGTTAGATACATATTTATATGTAGATATATTTACATATTATTTATTACATATTTATATATTTATTTATATATAAATACAGTCTGTTGAGTTTGTTTATTATTGCTTGTGTGTATTTGATTTCAGGGCTGATGAGTTATTATTGGATAATTAATAGGGGGATCATCCCTGGGAAAGACTTATCCTTCCTCTATCAGGGGTCTTTAGCTGTCTGTATTTCCTTGGCAGCAGGTCCTGTGAGATTTTTCCCTTCTATGTCAGCATGAATCACAGCATGACCAATATGCAAAGATACCACTACAGGTTCAAGAGTAGCTTCATATTGCAATGGTAACCAAGAGCTGTCTAATTAGATTTCAGGCACACTCAACAGGAGGGAAATCACATCTGGTGCAAGGAAACCTAGCAAACTTCCTGGGACAATAAAGATCATGGATCATGACGGAGAAACTACTACCACTACTTACTAGATCAGCGTAATTCCCAACTGTGTTCTAAAACTTATCCTTTTACCAACAGATAAGTGTAGTCCTCATTTTGAATTAAGGCAAACAAAACAGATCCTTCAATTTGCAGCAAAAAGACCATTACAGAAAATCATAACTTGCAATAATCCAGTGATCAAGTGATCTTGGTGTTCTCAGCCTGAGTGGATGCATCTACAATAAAATTGCTGCACCTACTACTCAGGGAAAGTCATGCAAGAGGGTATAGAAAGATTATGACATCAGAGGCATGGGATGTCTTCTGTATGATTATGTATCCTAGGAACAACAGAGAACTTACTTACACATACCATCTCAATAATATGGTAACCTAGCAATACTTGAACAATTACAATACCAACAGATATGTTACAAAGGCAGGGTAATTCAAAAGATATCACAATCTCAAATTTTAAAATCTGAATCTCCCTCCAAAATAACCTGGAATATGACTATTCTCTGGGAAACCATGGTATTTGATTCATTTATCAATTTAATTCAATTGTCAACATACTTTTCTATATTGCTAACACGTATCCTAATACATTTAAAAATAATATAAAATGATATTTTCCAAATTCTTCCAGCTGCATAACATTGTTTGGCCTTGCTTAGGCAGAAATATTATTTTCTAGCTCCTTTACATGCAGAAATCCATTTTGATTATGCCTTATACTATAATATTGAAGTCTAATAAGAGGTGTACATAATAACTTTTGTCTACATTATTAACAATTTGTTGCCTTTTAATGTTTTCCCTCCCCTATTAAAAGTGGCCATTAACAAATATGTGCAAAATTTATACATATGTACAGATATATGTATACACACACACACACACACACACACACACGTTCTAACAGCTTAGAGTAATATGCATGACACTCTTTAATGAGTGACAATTTTGAACAGGAACGTAGAATTTTTCCTTTCATCTCTCTCCATATATATTTACACATATATATATCATACACACACATATACATATATTATGTATATTTAGCAATTATTGTTCAAATTCAGAAAAATCTTTGAAAAACTGTTCAAGGGAATGGTATGTAAGTGCTGCGATAGACATAATATTATGTTTTATCATAAATAAAACTATCTTTGGACATGAATTCTCCATGCAAAACAAAATGTTAATCCATTTTCTTGGTCAACATAGAATCTGAGCAAGGAATATTTGGGAGGTGTTATCCAATTCCATCAACTACAGAAGTACTATATATAAACTCACAGGTCATGATACCCTCTTTGAAAATCTCTGAAACAGCATTGAAAATTTTTCTTTTAATGAGATCAACTTTTCTAGCTCCCATGTTGGCCACATTCCTCTATTTACAAAGGGTTTCTTCAATAGCTTACAGAAGAGTGAATTGAACAAGCATATGCCTTCCATTTTCCAGGCTACACTCTTATTACCATGTTTAGAATCTGACCTTAAAGCTCAAATAATACTTAGCAGAGTTCCACTGCACTCCATAAAAATAAAGAGGGCTTAAGCTGGTAATCACTTGTTACTTTTAATACGGTTTGATTTTCCAAACTGGGAACCCATATTGCTGATTCTTTCTAGTGTAATCCACAAATTCAACTCTTAAAAATTTCAAGAAAATAATTTCATTAAGCAATTTCCCATCCAGAGTAATTCTGTTTAACATGTTAATATTTTCACATCTGTCAAATAAAATCATTATTTTAAACAATGTCATATTGCAACATTATACTGCAAGTCAAGAAAATATGTTATTATTTTAGCACATGGCATTTGAGGTTGCCCCAAAATACAGTTGTGATATTTCATAGTTTAAACATATTATGAACATATTTTAAAGTGTTATTTATTGGGTATGTGTGTCTATAACATTTTTCTGTAACTTTAAACATATTTCTTACCACAAGTTGAACTCTTCCACCATTAAGTACATCTGGATCTAACTCAGGCAAGAAGTGATTGCTTCATGGTGACACAAAAGGAAAACAAGTTACAATATAAACATAAAGGAAAAATATTAAAAAGTGCTCAAACATCTTTATTCATAAAATAGACAAGTTTTAAATTATGTTATGTATAATAAACACACATATTACATATGTATACTTCCATTACTTTCCATTATTTGTAAATTAACTTTTTAAAAATTAATTTCTAAATATACTTCAGTAACACCTTTCTTTTTAAAATATAAACATTAATGAGTAATAATATAAAAGTACTAACAATGATAGTTAATAAATTATAGAAAACCTAAGTGTATTTTAATGACATTTACTTTTTCCCCCCGTTTATCCTTAGCTTTTTGATATAGGATCTCATGCAGTCCATGCTGGACTCAAACTTACCATGCAGCCAAAGACAAGCCTGCCTGAACTCCTGGGCTATATGTCTCCATCTCCAACTACTAGGATTGATCATAGGCCTGCATCATCACTCATAGCTTTTATAGTCTTAACCTTTCACTTGAGGCAGACAAAGTTTTCTACTTTGGTTCTATACTATGTTTAATGCATCCTACTAATATTTTTATTGAAGTTTAATTTTTCCATGATATTGACATTTTTCTTTTTAAAGAATTTTGTCTTTGGTAGCTATAGACATGGTTCAATATTAAGATTTTAAGGTATAGTAGTCTATACGTAGAATCAAAGAGCTGTGGGCTTAGGAGGGAAGATAAACAGATCCACAGACTTTGCTGGGCAGTCAACCTGACTCCCAGAATAATAAATGACCATGTCTCAAACAATATTAAAAAAAACAAAAGGGCACAAATTGTGTGGGTAGAGAATGGGGTGTGACTGAGTGGTTGCGGCACACACCTTTAATCCCAGCACTTGGGAGGCAGAGGCAGGCAAATCTCTGTGAGTGCGAAACTTGCCTGGTCTACAAGAGCTAGTTCCAGGACAGCCTCCAAAGCCACAGAGAAACCCTGTCTCGAAATCTCTACCCCTCCGCCAAAAAAAGAGAAGGGGTTGTGGATCTGGGAGGAGTTGGGGAAGGAAATGAAGATGATCAAAACATACTGTTCAAATTGTTAAAGAGCTAATAGAAAAAATAAGACAGATTTCTCAAGAATGACATTAAAAGATGACTTCTGACTTCAACATAACATACACACATGTGCACTTATATATGCACCTCTCCAAAATGCACCTACCCCAAAATGCAAGCATGCGCACACATGAACACACACACACACACACACACACACACACACACACTTTATATACTTTCATGTGATTTTGAAAATATTATAAAGAAATCTTCTATACATAGTAAATAGAAAATAGAAATTCTGAGGAATTGTTTGTGCCTTCTACTAGACACATACTTTTGCTTACTAGTAAGTGGTAATATTAAATGTTTAAACATTTAAAATTCACCTTAAAATTGTTTTTATTTTCCATTGTATCACACCTATATTAACACTTTAACTTCTCAAGAAGATCTCTCAAGTCTAGTTAATAGAGATAAGTAATAGAGATTGTTCTATTTGCTATAATTTTAAGTATGATATTCCTGTGGACCAGTCAACCAGATTAACGTGAACATGAAATAAGTTTATGTTTGCATTAATTGGAACACTTCAAAATAAAACATGAGAGCTACTGATGACTTTCTTTGTCAAATAACAGAAAGTTTCTCTTCTCACTTTTTTTTATTAAATGAAGTTCCACATTTTAAGAAGTTAAATGGGCTGAAGTCTTCATATATGAAAGTTTAACTCACATATATCATCATAAAACTTCAATACGGAATTTTAAATGTCAATTTTATAAATAACCAATTTTAAAACAAGTCTATATATTGACAAAGCAACTGTTACTGTATACTGCAAGTTTTCTTTATGCAGCAGAGGAGGCTGCATGGTTTGTGCATTGGTTTTAAGCATAATGGAACAGAGTTCTTCCTAAATACTTCATGGTGAAAACTATATAGAACAATTCCACCCACTCTGTATGAAAGCCTCTGGCAATGTGATGCATGGGCTTTTGGCTAAGAAGTTGTATTTGTTTTAGCACAATTAACCCAGGTTTCATTTTCAAGATATGTTTACTATACAAAAATCTAATTTAAAGGAAATGACCTCACCATTTCAGGGCTCTGGAACTAGTTGTTTCTGGAAAGCCAACTTGGGTATGAAGCCACTGGTAGGTGTACTCATTAGTCTTCTCTAACTTTTCAATAGCAGTGGGCTTGCAGAGGGCATCTTCCTCCTCATCTTGGGAAGAAATGTGTAACATTTGTCATTGAAAGAACTAAAACCAGGGCAGGTTTTTTACATGACGCTAAGAATATCATCATAATAAAAAAGTATTGACTGATACATGGTGGTTAAATAATGACTGTTATTAAAAAATTAAACATCTCCTCTGTTTCAGTTTCAATCAACCACTTTGAATAATAAAAGAAAAATTTTAATGCAGTTACCATTGTTTAAAAATAATTTCAATTAGGAAACTCAATTGTTTTGGAGAGACAATAGAATTTTCTTATATTAACTGGCTTGTTTTAGACTTATTTTAAAATCCAAATGTCTTTATATTATCCTCATATACAATAGAACTCATAGATCACAACAAAGATATTTAAAACAGATTTTTGATTTTACAGAATCGAGCTGTGTGTAAGCTAGTATTATTTTCAATCATTAACAGCTTGTATTAATTATTCAAAATGATGAATTTAATTGTGATATTTGCATACATGGTAGAGGAGGGGACTGATTCTCAAAAGTTGTCCACTAATCTAAACATACCACATTCTCTGGCACAGGTGAGCTCAAACTCCACACACACACAAGCAAGTATAAAAGTATACAATATTCTAAAAACAATCTCTACGTTAAGTTACAAGAATCTCTGTTTCTCTCAGTGTGTGTGTGTGTGTGTATGTGTGTGTGTGTGTTTAGAAAATCATGCAGACATTGCTTTTGCGTCAGTGTCTCACATTTTTGTTTACACCATTGTTTTGCAGCAATGTTTATTATGGTGGGCTTGCTCCTTTACACTGTTAGTCTGTGAAGCCCTCATAATTGATAAGGGCTGGCTGACTTGATGGTCTGCGTGTTTCTACAGTTAATTCATGGTAACCAAACTCACAAGTATATAAAATCTAATGGTTAAAAATGCAAATTTGCCCAGGTGCAGCAGTAATCACAGCGTTTAGAAATGCTGACTCAAGAATGCAAGTTCAAGGTTCATCTGGGCTATGTGAAAATTGTCAGGCAAGCCAAGGAAAGATATTGAGACCATTCATTCAAATAAAAAAAAGAGTAAATAAGTAAAAGAAAGTCAAGTGTCAGCTTATTAATTTGAGACATTCAGAATATTTGTACGTTCTTTGGAAAATGAAGCATTTCTTCAAACGCATAGCAAATGTATATAATACACTCCTGAGCAAACACAAATGTTAGCATGCATAATACTGAATATGATGAGAATGAACATCTTAAATCTCTTTTTCCTGTATAGGTCAGTGAAATTACTCTGGTTTTCAAATCAAGAAGATGTTAGAGCCAATATTTAGTAGGTCTAAAAGCATGGTGCTTGATTCTCTAAAGTCTAAGTTACTATTGCTTCTGATGCTACAGCATAACTCCAAAATGTCCACAGCTCCTGCCAAGCAATCTCATGGCTATCCTTCATTAGTTATACCTGGAGGAAGAACTCTTTCACATGCCTGGGTTGGATGATGAAGTCTAGGGCAGAGGTGTACGAGGAAGCCTGTATGCCGCCATTAACCATGTGACTTACCAGAGGCACATACAGATGAGGTTATAAAAGAGCAGTTTACCACACCGCTAACCACACCCACTTTAAGCATGACTAAAGACGTATAACGGACAGACATAAAGATGTATACGCACGTAGGCAGTGAACTACGTCACTAGCCAGGCCCACTTTTGGGCATGGTTAGGGGGCGTTACGGGGGAAGGCATAAAAGACCGCACAAAGGAAGTCTTGTTCTCTTTTCCCGGATTTCGGCTTCTGGTTCGGCAGCGGAAAACTACTGGGCTCATCTGGGTTACTTGTTTGGTATCTTGTGAGTAATTTCTACAATAAATACTTAGTTTTACTTTCAGTAAGTGTGCCGTTTATTGTTACAGCATCAGTTTGGTGTCAGAAGTTTTGGAATCCGGATCCAGACGCCCAGGAAAGCGGCTGCTCTTCAGCCCGACCAGGCACACGTGGACTCTCCTTTCGCTAAATTCCTCACCACTTCGCTCGGCAAAGCACGATTCCTGCCGCCGGGAACCAGCACCTTCTACCTGCCAGTAAGGTTAGGTGGTATTCCAAGATTTCTCTCGTGGCCATGTGCTCTTTTACTAGCAGCCTGCTGACTTCGGCCACGTGCTCTTTCGCTGGCAGCATGCTGACTTCGGCCTGAATAAAACTCCTCTGGTAACAAACTTAACTGCTTTATACAATGTCAGCTAACATTATGATGCAGAATGTTAAGAATTTTCTTGTTTTTTGTATGGATGGTATTTTAGAAAGGGTTGAGGAGCTACCTGAAAGGTACTTCCTACCCACGATGGTGATTATTAGTTTCATAATCAATATAATTTTGCTAAAGAAATGGCTCAAAAATAGGACGAAACTTATACAGGTCATACGGTCATCACAGGATAGTTTTGAAATCCTAATACAAAGAATTCAGGAAATGCAAAATTCCTTGCAGGATAGTAAGAAAGGGTTGGTAGAAAATATTCAGGATATTAAAAATGATAATGTAGGTCTGACAAACAGGTTTAAAGAGACAGAACACAAAATTGAATTACTTTCAGGAAAAATGTGATCAACAGATAGAATTGAAAAAGTGGAACATAATGTTGAAACATGTAACCAACAAAATTGTTCCATGTTTGATGATTTCACTAGCAAACTACAAAGACTGGAACATAAGATTGAAATGCTAACAGAAAAGAATTGTTCCATGTCTGAGAGCAATGACAAACTAACTGATAGAATGTCATTTGTGGAAGGCAGTTTACATGCCATTGAGGTACTTTCTAAGGATGAGAATATTACGTATTTGGAATCATGTAACCAACAAAATTGTTCCATGTTTGATGATTTCACTAGCAAACTACAAAGACTGGAACATAAGATTGAAATGCTAACAGAAAAGAATTGTTCCATGTCTGAGAGCAATGACAAACTAACTGATAGAATGTCATTTGTGGAAGGCAGTTTACATGCCATTGAGGTACTTTCTAAGGATGAGAATATTACGTATTTGGAATCATGTGTAAATGATGAATGCAAAAAAAATGAGATTCCATGATATCCTTAGAAGATTATTTGTCACAAGAACTTCAAGTGCTCAGAGAAACAATGATGAATAGACTGCAGGGTTTAGAAGACATTCAATCCGATACTTCAGAATCAGACATACAGGCAACAGGTCAGGACAGGAGTTTCCCAACACCTGTCCCAACAAACTCCCTAAGGTTGCTATGCGTTCACCTATGGTTTTCCCAGTATCTGTATCAGAAAAACCAGCAACGAAAAAACAATCAAATGGTCCCATTGCTTATCAATGGGAACCTATACAGATGAAGGGTCTAAAGGGAATCAAGGAGGCCATTGTTTCATATGGTCTTCATTCTCCCTTTGTCAGAGAGCTCCTAACCTCATGGGCCACTGTAAATAAAGTAACCCGAAAAGACTGGGCCCAATTAGCCTCGGCAGTGCTCGAAAATTCTTGTCAAATTCAATGGAGAGCTTTATGGAGGCAAGAATCGAAAGCCTTAGAGATTCAGGAATTAAAGAATGGTCATGAAGTACCCCAAGACCAGATTCTTGGCAAGGGTCCTTACGCTGACACGCAGGTTCAGTCTGCATATGATGAGCACATGTTGTCTTTATGCCATACAGCTGCTTTAAATGCCTTGGATAAGGTTTGTGAAACAGGAGAGATAATGCAACCCTATACCAAGGTATTACAGGGCCCACGGGAAAGGTTCACTGAATTTTTAGAGAGATTATCCAGAGCAATAGAAGTACAAGTAGCAAATCCAGAATCTAGGCGACTCCTTATAGAATCTTTGGCATATGAGAACGCAAATCCTCAATGCAGGCAGGTAATTTGGCCATTGAAAATAAGATCAGCGCCATTGGAGGAATGGGTCCTACATACAGCAAACCTGGAATGTAAAAGTCAGGATACAGGAGCTTGTGTAGGTGAAGCTATTTCTACAGGCTTGAGGAGGCACTAGGATGCCAAATACCTTACCTGTGATGATATAGAGGCCTGGGTAGGGAAGGCAATCTCCAAGAATTTTAACAGACATAAAGATGCCACATGCTTTAAATGTGGTAAAATAGGACATCTTAGTAGGAACTGTAGACAACGCATTCCTAGAAATAATGCTTTTACCAGGAATGCATCAAACAGAAGGCCTCAGCCTCCTGGTCTCTGCAGGAGGTGTGGAAAGGGCTAACATTGGACTGACGAATGATGGTCCACAAGAGATAGACAAGATAGATCTTTAAAGCCGGGTAACGGGCATTGGGGGCTCAAGCAGGCCCCAGAAAGAAAGATTATCCGGTCATTCCCAGTGACAGTGGAGAACAGCCTCTCCCAGGACAATTAGAAGATCCACTGCCCATGGTAAATAATATGGCACTGGATAATACATTAGCTGCAGAGGATGAATCAATTATATCAGGAGGAGATACAAAACATATATTTTGGCAAACTTCTATACAATATAATAGACCCAAGTTACCAGTTAAAGTAAATAATATGGTGATTAATGGCATTTTAGACACTGGAAGTGACATCACTATCCTTAATCAGAAGTCCTGGCCAACCAGTTGGGCTTAAAAAGAGGTTAACGTTCAATTCTTAGGGATTGGAACCCTATCTTAAGTTAAACAGAGCGATAGATGGATTGACTTTATTGGGCCAGAAGGACAGAGAGGAAGGTAAAAGCCATATGTTGCAGATATTGCTATAAACCTCTGGGGTCGTGATCTACTCCAGCAATGGAATATACAGATTAACATTCTTCCTGTACCAGCTAGGAATTACAGACAAGCTCTCAGTGGTAGAAAGAATATAGTAAGGAAGTACAGAAAACAGATGCCAAATGTACAGGCTGTACAGAAGCAGGATGCTAGTGCCAAAGCTACAGAGCAACCAAAAGCTCTACCCTTAAAATGGCTGACAGATGAATCCGTCTGGGTGGGTCAATGGTCTATGACATCTGAG